TTGTGTGTGGGGGGGGGGGGGGAGATGGTGCTGACCGGCCCTCGATACCCCCGAAATTAATACCCCCACCTTACCAACTATACGTCTGATGTTGCTGTACTAACCAGAATTCAACAACACAAACCATACGATTTTTTTAAACAGTTCGACAGCAACTTAACTCATGGTGCAAAACTCTTTGTAAATGTCAAATGAGCTAAGACGTTTCAAATAAAATATAAATAAATTGTAGGAGTCCAGAAAAAAAAGGTGGGCTCTTACCTGATATGACGTAATGAGACGTTCAGAAGACAGACAACAGCAATAAATGTTTCGGGATTGTATGGCTAAACTGTCACATCAAAGCGTTATCTAAATCTTATTTTTATAGTGAAAGATTTGAACTGGATTTCATTGTTTTCCAATAAAGTAAGAAAGAAAATTTAATCCATGTGTTTCAGTAATATATATATATATATATATATATATATATATATATATATATATATATATATATATATATATATATATATATAATTATGTGTGCTTTATATATAGAGAGATAGTAAAAGATTTTAAGAAGAGGTAGAAAATGTAATATATAACCTAAAGTTTATGTTTCAGTTACCAGCAAACCAAAGTTGTGAAGTTTAGGGAGGTGATGTTTATGTTTTCTAAAACAAAAGTAGCGTTTATTATTTAACTTTGCCTTGTAATAACTTCCCCCCCCCCCCCTATCTTGCGAGCTTCCTACTTTTCGTTTACTTAACGCGCCAATTTTCTCCGTTTTCCACACACAAACTTTCCTCAAACCTCACGTGTAGCTGGATAATCCGATGATTATCGGATTAGGAATCAGTTATCTTTTCGATTTTGCCGTGTATGTAAGAATAAATTACGCCGTGGCTAAAATAAATGTAGCTATTAACAAATGTATCGTCTTTAACAAAACTCTGTTATTGAGAATTCACCGGTTTTAAGAATTACTTCTTCGATTATCTTGAAAGTATTAGACGCCATTTTGTTAGCGTATATCAGATAGTTGCTAATAACAGAACACTCAGAGACTGGTGTTTCTTATCTTGTAATGCTATTTAAGATAAAGTTTTGAGTAGTTTTGTTGAGATGAATGTAGGCGTACAGGCCCTTGTCAAAGCATACAGACTTTTTCATCCAACGACCGGGCAGACTTTTCAGAAACTCTTCAAAAGACAGAGTCTTACAAGACTTTTAGAGAAGCGGACTGATACACAGGACAATGAATTGGCTGGTATTTGTTGCGATGTTAGTTGTGGCTTTTCCGTATCTGGCGAATAGCGCAGCAGTTCAGAGAAAAAGTGAGTTCATTAGTCGAATGTACCAGTTAAGACTATAATAAAGAAGGATGTGTTGCAAATTGTATACAAAAAAATTAAATTTTCAACAATATTTTTACACAACACATAAGGATGGTGCTGTCGATATTTATTAAAGTTACTTAACTCAAAAATGTTTATTCTTTACAGAACATTTAAATACAGGCCATTTTTGTAATTGTATTTTATTAACTTCTCGTATACAGAGTAGGCTATAGAGGAAGTATTGTAATCGTGCAGAATAATTCACAGTTATTTTGACGGTTTCCGCAATTTCACACCCTACTTACAGACGGACAGATAGCAAAAATACGTTTTTGCGGCGTCAAAAGATTGTAAAGCGTCAAAATATGTAAACATCTCGATTTAGATTTTTTGCACGATTACGATACGTCCTTTACGTTCAAAATACTATAAAGAAGGGCGGTGTAAAACGGACAAAACTGTCAAACTGTCTGTTGCTTATTCATCATACTTACAATACTTATTCTATAGGGCCTACTATGTTTACAAGAAAGTAAAAATCGAGTTAAGTTTATATGCAAAATATAAATAGACAAAATAAAAAGGTTAGAAATAATTTTTAGTTATTTAGATATTTAATATGAATATTATTAAAGCTGTAAAAAAATTAAATTTATTTAATGTGCAGAGGGGTAGGCCTACATGTTAGTGATATTTCAACATTTGAACAATTACATTTTCTTTCAAAATAACTCGACTTTTTTTTAGATAGACCAACGTATGTCCTTAAGAAAATAATAATTTTTTTCTGGTATGTGTGGAGGGTAGAGGGGTTTGGTAAATAGTGTGTTTTTTTATTCACCTACTCACACACACAAATACATGAATACATATATAGTGATACATATATATATATATATATATATATATATATATATATATATATATATATATATATATTCACTTCCAATCCCCAGACGGTTGTCCTCTTGGTGTAAAAGTCAACCAAGTTTGGTATACTCCAGAATGTGAGAAATGCACTTGTTTTGCAAATTCATACAACTGCAATGGGTAAGTGTGTTATAAAGTATCATTAGGCCTTTATGTTTCTAATCTGTATCATTAAGCCCTTGTATATGATTTAAGTATTGAATGTAATTCTGCATCATTAGGCCTACATGGTTGATTCAAGTACCAAATCGGCCATTCAGGCAAATTAATTTTTGTCTTTATTATTGATCACCGCCGTGTACTCGATAAAGAGTTCACCTTCATGAAATCATATAGAAAAAAACGTATAGTATAAATAGGCAGATTATATCGTAAAAGTAACACTTAGTTACCGCAGACAACATTTCATCAGCCGTTTAAATCGATCTTGTTTCTTACAAAGGGGCCCCCCAGCCCCTGATAAAAAAAAATTCACGTACGTTTGTTCTCCATTAAAACCTAATTTTAAAAAAAATCTAAACACTAATAGGACTATTACAGTATCTTACCTTGGGGCCCACGAGATATTACCCGGTAGAGGGGCGGGCCAGTTCACCCCTGTTGGCTAAGACGAGATGATGAGTCGGGGTACAGTGTCTAGCAGTTTGAAAACCGCTGGCATAGAAAATTCATAAAAACAAGACTTTAGTGGCATAGAAAATTTATAAAAACCGCTGGCATAGAAAATTCATAAAAACAAGACTTTAGTGGCATAGAAAATTTATAAAAACCGCTGGCATAGAAGATTTTATAAAAACCGCTGGCATAGAAAATTTATAAAAACCGCTGGCATAGAAAATTTATAAAAACCGTTGGCATAGAAAATTTATAAAAACAAGACTTTAGTGGCATAGAAAATTTATAAAAAAAAAACGCTGGCATAGAAAATTTATAAAAACCATAAAACCGCTGGCATAGAAAATTTATAAAAAACCGTTGGCATAGAAAATTTATAAAAAACCGCTGGCATAAAAATTTATAAAAACCGCTGGCATAGAAAATTTAAAAAAACGCTGGCATAGAAAATTTATAAAAACCATAAAACCGCTGGCATAGAAAATGTATAAAAAACCGTTGGCATAGAAAATTTTTAAAAACCGCTGGCATAAAAATTTATAAAAACCGCTGGCATAGAAAATTTAAAAAAACGCTGGCATAGAAAATTTATAAAAACCATAAAACCGCTGGCATAGAAAATGTATAAAAAACCGTTGGCATAGAAAAATTTTAAAAACCGCTGGCATAAAAATTTATAAAAACAAGACTTTAGTGGCATAAAAATTTACAAAAACCGCTGGCATAGAAAATGTATAAAAACCGTTGGCATAGAAAATTTTTAAAAACCGCTGGCATAAAAATTTATAAAAACAAGACTTTAGTGGCATAAAAATTTACAAAAACCGCTGGCATAGAAAATTTATAAAAACCGATAGATGGGTGAAGGCTGAACATTAAAGTAATTTTAGCATAGGGACAACCTTCTGTGACGACTGGTGATGATAGGTTATGATTAAACGGGAAGCTAGAAAATAAATAAAAAATAAAAAAATAATAATACATATTTTTTTAAAAGCTGACGTCATTTGTATAAGATTCTAAATGATAAATTGATATAATTTTTTAAAAAATGTGTTGTATTCGTCGTCAGCAAACGTAATTTGAAATCTGCCAAAAATGTAATTTGTATCTTGCGGATTTTGTTAAAGATTTATTTTAAACAACAATTGGCAGATGGACATTATCCCAACTAGGAGAGAAAACAACTGCAGCCTTGTAATTTGTTAGTGGGGATGGCGAGGTGGAATTGTTGAAGCTCATGGTTGTTAAGCTGATTAATCCCGAGTTCGAACCCAGGGCAGATGAGGCTCGACAGCAGGGGACAATAACCCATCTAGTAGATAAAATTCCAGTAACAAACAACTGCTGCCTTGTAGTTTGTTCTTGGATGGACAAAGGCTGTGGCAGCAAGTACAAAAAGAAATGCAGGCTGAAATCCGAGTCAACGGCCCATATAGCGTATTACATGTTGATAATACTTAACTGTGTAGGAAGAAATCCTGTCCAACATTACAAATAAGAATGAATAAGAAAGCCTGGAAGTCATAGTATAATATTCAAGAAAAATAAAACCGCGTTTCCCAACCCCAGAGTTTCTTTCAGGCATCTCTTCGTCCGTACCCCCCCCCCTTCAAATAAAGTATATCGCCCCCCGAAAGAGATGGAATTTATATAGAAAACATATACTTTTACTAGTGTCCGCACCCCCCCCCCCCCCCGGAAAATATAGTCCGTTCCCTTTCCCAGGAAATATCAAGTCCCCCCCCCCCCGGAGTAAAAAGTCTGGAAGAAACACCCCCAACCCTGTATTCAGTTTTGGACTCTCCAGTTCCTGTGTCGTCTCTTTCAGCTGCGGCACCGAAGTTTTTTTCTACAACAAACGGCGCTGCTACCCAGTTTACCGAAACGAACTGAACTACCCAGAATGCTGCAAACCGGATATCCTGTGCCGAGGCAATGAGGGATTTGACGAGTCCAAAATGGCGATCACCAACTAAGGCATAGCACGTACTCTCTTTTCCGTGATTAAAAGCTGTTTGAAACTTATCTGATTTTATAATGCTTTTTTTCAGTTTTGAAATTTTATACATAAAAAAAGAACAATAAGATTTACTTTTGAAGATTAGCTCGACAAAATATATCGTTAAAAAAATTTCTGTCATTAGAACCCCCTCCCTCGCCCTTCCACACTCCTAAAAACCCTCATCCCTTCGGGAAAAAATCCTCCGGGCAACGAAGACTGGACAAAATTTTTTTTTTTTTAAATTCTATGCAGACCGTTTGTAAATAGGAAGCTACATTCCAGCAATAAAATGGAGGATAATTTGCGTTGATAAGATTTTTAAATTGTTATATTACCTCCCTTTGATCATAAATAGATCGGCTTGCATTTTTTTCTTAAATTAATTATTATAGTTAAATAACTGTCTTACTATAAAATTTAACACATATAAAAATCGATATCTCTTGCTTAAAGATCTATATAATCAATAAAAAAACTTTATAAAAATAATACATTTTTAAATGCACTAAAAATATTGAAATAAAACTTCAATCCTTAACAAAGCATCAGACGCTAAAATTAAGCCAGAAATCTCATAAGTACAAATGTTTCTTTACTCAATTTCCTTTGGAACGTGTGGCTATGATACCTTAAGTTCCGTTTCAATTATGTAGACGATATTTCAAATTAAATAATAAGATCTAATACTTAGATTACGTTTAATTTTAGAGTGACTAGGTTTGGTTTTTTGTTTGGTTTTTAATTAAATATCTGACAAAACAATTCGTTTATATATATATATATATATATATATATATATATATATATATATATATATATATATATATATATATATATATATATATATATATATATATATATATATATATATATATAAGATTACCGCAAGATTTCTTGTCGAACAGCAGAAATATGTTGCAGTAGGCATTACCAAACAAAGCCTACTCCTGTAATAACTATTGACATAACGTCTGAAACCACCCACGGTAAACTAGTTCGCCTCATTAAAATAAAATTATATTGCAGTTGTAATGCCCCGCCTGCGTGCTGCCTAAGCTGAAATCTATCGTTCTGATTGAAGCAGGGAGGCGCCAATATGGCCAAAGCTCTCTCGGTCAATGAACTAAAAAGTCTTAGTATTTTATTCTGTTTTTTTTTTTAAGCTTTGCATTGAAAGCTTGCCAAAACATATGTGCATTTTTCTATGCTGGAGTAGAAGTGATGTATGTTTGTATGCATGTATGTATGTATGTATATATATATATATATATATATATATATATATATATATATATATATATATATATATATATATATATATATATATATAAATGTATATATAGGGGCCAGATGGTAGAGAATACAACGGCTAACCCGAACGTCTTGCGTTCGTATCCCAAGTTCGTGCAAGTGAAACGTCCCGGAGTCCACCCAGCTCTAATGGGTACCTGTCTGACGTTAGGGAAAGATTATCATTTCCTACCCTTACTCCATGATGAAAATTAGATTTTGTTTCCTCAGTAATATAGATTCTATCCACGCTAAAGGGAGCTAATGAGCAATGAAAAACCGATTTAATCTTTTAAAGTAGAAAATATCCACCTTTCGAAAATGTAATGAAGTAATAGGAAGCTGTAATATAGATTGTGTCTGTAGACTGAGTTTCGAATTATTTAAGCCTTTTTCTTAAAGCTCAAATTTTTTTTTTAATTTCTATATACGGAAAAATATTGGTTTTGTGTGTTTATACAGTAGAAGTACGTGCAGGAATTAATATAATACACACACACACACACACACACACATATATATATATATATATATATATATATATATATATATATATATATATATATATATATATATATATATATGAAGGCCCTATAAAAGAATTTGTATGTTAAGATATTTCGTTTTCTAGGAATTATTAGCCTATTTCGTTTAAATTATTCAAATCTTTTTAATGGTACACTTGGTTACAAAAGGAAGTCAAATATCTCAATACATTGCCGTTTCCAACCATATGAAACTGATTTTATTCCTTCTTTTCCTTTCCAACCTTTCTTTTTTTTTCTTCCTTCATATCAGACACGTGATACGGATATATTGATTTTTGAAAGTACAAACCACGTGACAATAATGTTCATACTTCAGCTTATCAGCTGTCAGCAAATATAAGAGATCTGGGCTTATAAAAAAGGGGAGATTATCCCACCACCAACCACGCCCCCATCCCCGCGTGATTTTACCATTTTGAAAAGTTAACGATTTAAAATTTCGACCGTTATCAAAACAAAACTCTAAATTTTTGCCAGTTGTTTAGTAATAAACATGTTTACTATACATGCGCTGAATGTGAAACTAAGTTTAGTCTTTTTTAAATTAACATTTTGATCATCGCTCAAAACTTAGTTCTAACCAAAGAAAATACAATCAAATTTTATAGATACTTTTAAAACAAACTAGTGTATAATTAACTAGCCATTAATAAAACTTGCTAGCCAAACTTAACTTCCTACTTCAATATCCCCCCCCCCCACCCACACACCCATCACAAAACCCTAAAATCAATTTTAAAAAAAATTAAATTAAATATATTTAGAATGTTGACGACAACAAACTGCATTCACGCAGATATTTTCGCCACAAAGGGAAGTAATCCTCGACATACGCGGTGAAATGTTTCTTGCTGGCAACAATACGTTCAGTCCCACCAGATGGCGCCTAGATACTCAACTGTTCTAACAAATCTAAACAACGCCTAGATCGATAGATCAATTACTTTCAAAATGGCGGACTCGTCGATTGAATTAAGTCTGGGATATGTTTTGAAAATCTTGGACAGCGGTTAAAGGGGGGGGGGGGGATTGAAATTGAAGTTAAAAGGGAGATAATTAAAGAAAATAAAGCAATTTTTGTTTCATTGGATTGCTAGAAATTTATGGCGAAATTTAAGATACTAAGAAAATTAAGATACTAATGGGTTTTGTGTGTGAGGAAGGGTTTCTTGTGTAAGGAAAGGTTTCTTGTGTAAGGAAGCGTTTCTTGTTTTAGGAAGGGTTTCTTGTGTGAGTATGGGTTGAGTGTGTGGAAGGGTTTCTTGTGTGAGGGTTAAGTGTGTGAAAGGGTTGAGTGTGTGGGAGGGTTGTGTGTGGAAGGTATGGAAAGGTTGCTAGACTTTATCTCTTTAAGAAATGGCACCTAACTAGCTTTACTGAAAAATTTACTGAACGCAAATACTACCATAACATTTTTTCATTAAAATTATGCCTTTGTTTTTCTCTTCTTCAGTCTTTGCCCTTTTCCAAGTCTTTGCCCATTTCACAAGTCTTTGCTCATTTCCTAAGTCTTTGCCCTTTTCACAAGTCTTTGCCCTTTTTCACAAGTCTGCACATTTCACCAGTCTTTGCCCATTTCACAAGTCTTTGCCTATTTCCCAAGTCTTTGCCCATTTCACAAGTCTCTGCCCATTTCACAAGTCTTAGCCCTTTTCACCAGTCTTTGCCCATTTCACAAATCTTTGCCCTTTTCACCACGTTTTTCACACTTTCCACACTTTTACACGCAGGCTGTTTGTTTTTCTAATATCCTGTTCAAGCAGCTTAGTTTCTTCCTCTGTTTTAGATTGTTGTGGGAATGAGCTAAACAAACGTCATTAACTAGCTCCGATACACGACCAGCTGTAACTATTTTGGGGTTTTTTTTATGTCCACACACGGTAAAATCTGTTTCATCGTAACTCAAATTTCGTTTGTATTTCAAAGCAAAACAATCACTCACTCGATGGCTTTTATCTGCAAACACTCGAATACTTGGTGGCCACTCGTAAGTTGAATTAATACTATATATATATATATATATATATATATATATATATATATATATATATATATATATATCTGTGTGTGTGTTTATTGTGTGTATGTATGTGCGTAGGCATATTAATGTATTCTTAAGGAATGCGCGCACACATATATACTATAAACACAAAAATTGAAATGTATATATATATATATATATATATATATATATATATATATATATATATATATATATATATATATATATATATATATATATATATATATATAAGAATTTATGAGTTTCTGAGACAAAAAAAGCATAAGATAAAAATAACTTTTCTTGTTATTATTTTTCTTTTAAATTTTATTTGGTTTAAATTATCATAACATTTTTGTTAATGTAATTATCATAACAATTTTTGTTAATGTAATCTAAAAATTTCTCAACGTGTCTTTGGAATGTCTAAGTCACTCCAGTGTCGAAGACTAATTAATTAGCCTTGAGCTTGGACTCGACGAATCCTGCGTCCCCACGGCAGACGACTGAAGGACAACAGTTGGGGTACTTCTGGTTGGGGGCCGCTGGTTGGATGTAACACCTGGTCTTGTCGAACTGCTTCTCGTCACACCTGTGGGGGCAGGTAAAAATAAACACGTCAATAAAACAGGTAGAATCAGAGGCGTAGCGACCCTTCCCGGCGCCCGGGGACATACTTTCAATTTGGCGCCCCCTTGGGAGCAAATTTTCGATTTGCACCCCCCCCCCCCCTCAAACTTTCGATTTGCACCACCCCCCCCTCGAACTTTTCATTTGCACCCCCCCCTCGAACTTTTCATTTGCCCCCCCCCCTCAAACTTTCAATTTGGCGCCCCCACTAAGGTCGGCGCCCGGGGACATATGTCCCCCCCCCACCCCCCCCCCCCCCTCGCTACGCTACTGGGTAGAATATCGCGCTTTTACAGGCACTACAATCAAGAAAACGTTAACATATTATATAAGAACAATGTTGCGAAGAGACCATTTTAAATGCACCAAAAATCAAGAAAATCAAACAGAATAATAATTATCACATAACAAGTTATTTTTAAGGAAAAGGCTTTTATTATATTAACAAATCACTAAAATTCACAAATTTAAAAAAAAATTGTTCTAAAAATTAATAAATAAATTTAGTTTAGTGTAACCTTACTAAAGCTTTATACGGGAATGACTAGTTAAAAGCCTGGGCGCTCACTTAAGGGAAAATATATTCCCTTTCAAATGTTAAATCTTCATAAGTAAATTTTGACTAATTTTCTATCTAAGCCATCAGAGAAATGCTTATAGAATGAGCTCCCTCAGAAATTGAACAAAATGAAGTAAGACGTTTTGACCATAAACAAAAATTAAACAACTCTACTTCTTGACTTTAGAAGTTCTTTAAGCGAGTCATCTAAATGTTCGTTAAACGGGGCAGCGTCGTAAAGGGTTTTTAAATTCATAAAAAAACAACATAAAAATACATCTGGGATTGTCTCTCCCAGCTCAGTTGATCTAAAAAAAATGCATGACTTACTCTTTGAAGGTGTATTCTCTAGGCTTGCAGTAGTGTACCTTACAGTCGTTTGTCTCCCATTTGTCTCCGGACACCTTTCCATTTGGACATTTATCCACTGTGGATACACGACAAATATAAACATTGAACTATTTAGACATTTATCCACTGTGGATACACGACAAATATAAACAATGTAATGGCTATAAACATGTATCCACTGTGGATACACGACAAATATAAACATTGAACTATTTGGACATTTATCCACTGTGGATACACGACAAAAATAAACATTGTATTGGCTAATTGGACATTTATCTCTTGTGATACACAACAAATATACACATTATATTGGCTAATTGGACATTTATCCACTGTGATACACGACAAATATAAACAATATATTGGCTATTTGGACATTTATTTACTGTGGATACACGACAAATATAAACAATGAATTATTTGGACATTAAGTTACATGTGGATACACGATAAAATATAAACATGTCTCATGACTTAAGTATGTTTTATGAGCATAACACAACCTTTTCTTTTTCAATTTCTTGAATTTTTTCATATTATAGGCTCATATACCATAGCAAATTACGGATTTTAAATAACTTTAAAAGTTTAAGGTTGACATGCGGAAATTACAATACCTAGAATCATAAATATTACACAAGTGTACTTTTGACTGTATAGAAAAGACGTGATATATAACAAGACAATAAACTTGAATGTTGTTTTTGACAAATCTTTAAAGAAAAAAAAACAATTATGAAAAGTTTTTCGTTCCAAATTGAACCATCGGGTGCTAAAATGGTACAGCAGAATTATTCCGGAAACAAAACAGCTAGACCTATCAGAGAAAGGTTTGACTTGTTTCTTCCTACGTGAAAGCAATTTGTGAATCCGTCCGTTGGGTACAGCTTACTAGGATTAAAGGAATATAAAGGACAGATGTATATAAAGACAGCCAGAGCCAGCAGCTAGGTAACTATGACTGTTGATCTTCTCCAAATGACTTTTGGCCACCGTCGTTTTCTGTTGCCCAGTGGTGTATAACTGAGAGCGGTCTTAGTCATTGCTCGCACTGTGATCACGTGACCAAACCATCCCCATCTTATACGCCTGCTGACTACTATTTATGGATGAATGAGTGTTGTTTTTATTACTTTTTTCTTAAGGTATTTACTTGCAGATTCTCAGTGTTTGGCACACGCACTTGGTCTATACAGCTTCAAGTACTATCCCTATAACACTGGTAATGTGCAAGATTTCGAGCCATACATAAGGATACATAGCATGACTTTGAAATATGCGCAGTTAGGCTTACCTTTGCTGCTTTTCATACATTCCTTAACATACATAAGCAATGGCTACCTTTCCCTAATCAGATTTTATCCTATTCAAGCAATATTTATTAATTGAATTTTTAAGTCCCATATTAATGAATTCCCCCCACTTCCTATATCCGTTTGTCTCCTAAGCTAACTGGTTCCTTATTTTTGTCATTGATTTTCAAGACTTTAGTTTTTTTTATTACCAATATTCAGATCTATCATAGTAGCAATGGTTTTTTTTTTTTTTTGTGGTGAGGTGAGGATAAGAAATAGAGTTTTATTTTCTTATCAATATCGGTAAACTGATTAAAGTATCGAATCGCATTTATCATTTCCAATTTTTGGTTCTAACTCCTAAATTAAAAATATATATTAATTAAATTCAACTAATTACCTATTTCAGTGACAATGCGTCCATAGGCGAGAGCCACAAAGAGCACACACAAGAGTAGGCTCATCTTGACGGACGCCATGTTGGAATAATTTCTTCGTTCGGTGCAAATCAAATGCGTACAATGAAACCGAGAAGACGAAGGAGAAACGATTTGAGCTCAAACTTAATACGATAAGCCTATTTAAATAAGTCTGTCAGCCCCTCCCCTCCCCCTTTTCGTTCTTTAAGTCATTCTTTATGGATAGTCTTCCGTGTAAGCGGCGACTGCTTAAAACGTTACATCTTTTTATTGCGTTCTTTCGGTTTAGTTTGTTGGTGCAGGTTCCTGGATTATTACGATTTCATTTCATTTGCCTATATAAATGAATATGTGGGACGGTGTGGCCTAGCGGTAGAGAGATGGGCTGCTAGCCCCAAAGTTTTGAGTTCGAATCCGGGTTCAAATCAGTAGAATGTCCCTAAATCAACCCAGCTCTAATGTGTATCTAACTCACGTTAGGGAAACAAAGTCGGATGTGCATAGTGCAGACCACACTATCTCTTCATATGCCATGGTCATTGAAACAGATGAACTCTACTCGATCTGCTCCTTGTGTCTTGGGCACAAACGGGAAAAGATGATGAGGATGAAAATAAACATTTATTCATGAAACAAATTCAGCGTAGGTCTACGAGTGACGCAATAAAACTTTAGTCTTGGCTTCAGTGTTCGGCTATCTAAAGGCGTTTTTGATTCGGCACACTTGTAGTTAGACGACGCTAATAATACCACAATACTAACACTAACAATATATCTAAACTGAAGGAAAAAACATTATCGTATGTAACAAATAAATGATCAATAATAACTTAAAACCCAGACAGCCGACTTAATGGTGTAAAATTAAGAGTCGGACTAAATTTCTTGGTCGAATATTGTAATGAATATATCGAGTTCTTCTTGAATATAACAATGTACTAAATTTTGGAAGATTAACCATTGTACGTAAAAAATCATGATACAATGATACGTACGAACACAAGAATATATATATATATATATATATATATATATATATATATATATATATATATATATATATATTAACGCCTGCCTATGTAAAAAAGTTTCCAAATAACCCTACAAATCTAAATCATCTTTTTAAACAGGTAAACAATAACCACACCTCATACAACTCACCCCCTTACACGATGGCTTACACTCTTACAGAGTTTCTAAACACGTTTTATCGGAATTTTAAAAAATTGAAATCCATGTTTCTCAACAAGCGTGAGCTCTTCTTGGCCTGGCGGTTTAGCTCACGAGGAGAATCGTCTTAAGCCGGCTGCGCATTTAACTGTGATAAACGTCACTATTGTTACAATTTTAATACTCAAAAACACATTAAACACGTGCTGGGTGGTATTCAAGAAAGATTTATAAACCAATGTTTTCAACATTCCACAGCTTGTATTCAGAGGTCTTCAAATTTTGGTTAATTTTTAGATGTTGCAAACTTGCAAAAAATGTTAGTATATATATATACTAGCCGTCCCGGCCAGGCCCTGCTCTGGCTTCTGTAAAAAACCTTTCTGTTAAAGACCATTACGTGTATGCTTAGTTACAGAGGCGTAGCGACCCTTCCCGGCGCCCGGGGACATACTTTCAATTTGGCGCCCCCTTGGGAGCAAATTTTCGATTTGCACCCCCCCCTCGAACTTTTCATTTGCACCCCCCCCCTCAAACTTTCAATTTGGCGCCCCCCCTAAGGTCGGCGCCCGGGGACATATGTCCCCCCCCCCGCCCCCCCCTCGCTACGCTACTGCTTAGTTATCATCATAAACCCGGCATTGCCGACCCAAACTAAAACCAACCAAAACCAAATTAACAAAACGCAAAAAAAAGCTAACACAATTACAAATACAAACGAAAACAAAAACCTAACAACAAACCAACCACAACCACAAACACCAATACGAACACAAAGAAAAAAACAAACAAAAAAGCAAATGAAAACAAACCAAATCCAAACGCAAAACCAACCACAAACACAAACCCAACGAAAAAAAAAACAAACGAAAAAGCAAACGAAAACAACCCAAATCCAAACGCAATACCAACCACAAACACAAAAGCAAACGAAAACAAACCAAATCCAAACGCAAAACCAACCACAAACACAAACCCAAAGAAAAAAACACAAACGAAAAAGCAAACGAAAACAAACCAAATCCAAACGCAAAACCAACCACAAACCCAAAGAAAAAAACACAAAAGAAAAAACAAACGAAAACAAACCAAATCCAAACGCAAAACCAACCTCAAACACAAACACAAACGCAAACCCAATGAAAATAAAACACAAACGAAAACAAAAAAAGAAAGAACAAAAACGAACCAAATCAAAACGCAACCACTAACGCAAACCCAACCTAAAGACAAAGAAAACACTAACGCGAACATAAACGCACAGTGCTCACGGGGCTGAATCGCCTGCTTCAGCTTAATAAACGACTATAGTACCGCAACTTATTCATAGTCTTTTGCACTCACTTTAATGAACGTAGGCGCGAAACCGAACACGGGAGGCCCGGGACCCCTAATAGCACCCTGTCTGGGCGCCAGAGGACGCACCATGACGTCACCGCCTGATTGAACTTGGTAAACGACTATAGTACATAACTTATTCATAGTCTTTTGAACTCACGCGAACGTAGATACCCTAGCGTACACCGGAAGGCCCGGGGCGCCAAATAGCACCCTGTCGGGGTGCCGGAGGACGCCCGGATTTGATTCACTTAAAGACTATAGTAACCTTTCTTATCCATAGTCTATCGCAATGTTCAAAACAAAATTATGCAGCATAGCGCTCACATGATAGCCCAGGGTGCCAAATCGAACCGTGCAGGGGCGCCGGCGGACGCGCCTGTTTCAATTTAGTGAACAAAAATGATAACACTCCAAGCTTATCCGTAAATGGAAAGAAAGAAACATATAGGATTTGTAGGACCATGGCTTATTAAATGTTATTGATTTAAAAAAAAAAAATTATTGAACAGTATGTTCAGTGTATAGAATAAATAAAAGGCAGTGTTAAAAATACCTAACGACATTGCACTTAATCAATCCCCGCTGATTATGTAATTATTTTTTTTTTCTTAACACCAAAACAAAGTAATAATAAAAAGTAAATTCTTTCTTCTTAATGATTTTTTTTAAAGGGAAGTAACTGTGCAGTCAATACATCTCCGACACAATTTTAGAAATTTTATAAACGTCGATACACTTTTTAAAAATTGTATGTCGTGTTCATAATTGAAAATTATTCTTTTAAGTAAATAGAATGAAAATTGTTTTTAAAGACTTTCAATGGTAATTTTTTGACTCGTAAATTTAGACGACTGCGCACGATAATTGATCTAACACTTGAATCCGTAGAAATGCCAACGATGCACATTTTTGTCCGCCACATACAGAACTGAGCTTTATATATTAGATATATATATACTAGCCGTCCCGGCCAGGCCCTGCTCTGGCTTCTGTGAAAAACCCTTCTGTTAAAGACCATCACCTGTGTGTTTAGTAATCATCATAAACCCGGCATTGCCCACCCAAACCACAACCAACCAAAACCAAAACAACAAAACGCAAACATAACGCTAACACAATTACAAATACAAACGAAAACAAAAACTTACAACAAACCAACCACAACCACAAACACCAATACGAACACAAAGAAAAAAGCAAACGAAAACAAACCAAATCCAAACACAAAACTAACCACCAACACAAACCCAAAGAAAAAAACAAACGAAAAAGCAAACGAAAACAAACCAAATACAAACGCAAAACCAACCACAAACCCAAAGAAAAAAAACACAAAAGAAAAAACAAACGAAAACAAACCAAATCCAAACGCAAAACCAACCTCAAACACAAATACAAACACAAACCCAATGAAAATAAAACACAAACGAAAACGAAAAAAGAAAGAACAAAAACGAACCAAATCAAAACGCAACCACTAACGCAAACCCAACCTAAACACAAAGAAAACACTAACGCGAATATAAACGCAAAGTGCTCACGGGGCTGAATCGCCTACTTCAACTTAATAAACGACTATAGTACCCCAACTTATTCATAGTCTTTTGCACTCACTTTAATGAACGTAGGCGCGAAACCGAACACGGGAGGCCCGGGACCCCAAAAAGCACCCTGTCTGGGCGCCAGAGGACGCACCATGACGTCACCGCCTGATTGAACTTAGTAAACGCCTATAGTGCATAACTTATTTATAGTCTTTTGAACTCACGCGAACGTAGATACCATAGCGTACACCGGAAGGCCCGGGGCGCCAAATAGCACCCTGTCGGGGTGCCGGAGGACGCCCGGATTTGATTCACTTAAAGACTATAGTAACCTTTCTTATCCATAGTCTATCGCACTGTTTAAAACAAAATTATGCAGCATAGCGCTCACATGATAGCCCAGGGTGCCAAATCGAACCGTGCAGGGGCGCCGGCGGACGCGCCTGTTTCAATTTAGTGAACAAAAATGATAACACTCCAAGCTTATCCGTAAATGGAAAGAAAGAAACATATAGGATTTGTAGGACCATGGCTTATTAAATGTTATTGATTTTAAAAAAAAATAATTATTGAACAGTATGTTCAGTGTATAGAATAAATAAAAGGCAGTGTTAAAAATACCTAACGACATTGCACTTAATCAATCCCCGCTGATTATGTAATTATTTTTTTTTTCTTAACACCAAAACAAAGTAATAATAAAAAGTAAATTCTTTCTTCTTAATGATTTTTTTTAAAGGGAAGTAACTGTGCTGTCAATACATCTCCGACACAATTTTAGAAATTTTATAAACGTCGATACACTTTTTAAAAATTGTATGTCGTGTTCATAATTGAAAATTATTTTTATAAGTAAATAGAATGAAAATTGTTTTTAAAGGCTTTCAATGGTAATTTTTTGACTCGTAAATTTAGACGACTGCGCACGATAATTGATCTAACACTTGAATCCGTAGAAATGCCAACGATGCACATTTGTGTCCGCCACATACAGAACTGAGCTTTATATATTAGATATATATATATATATATCTAATATATAAAGCTCAGTTCTGTAACGTGTGGCAAAAAACAAAAAAGTTTGTCGTTGAC